AGCCAACACCCCAGAAGACAAACTCAGGATCCAAAAAGATCTTGATAAACTTGAACAATGGGCCCTATCCAATAAAATGACTTTCAATGTGAAGAAAAGCAAAGTCTTAAATCTAGGCAGGAAAAAACAAAGGTACAAATACGATTGGGCAAGACCTGATCCTGGTGGATGATCACTTGACTATGAGCCAACAGTGTGCAGCAGCAACCAAAAAGCTAATACAATCTTCGGTTGTATAAACAGAGGCATAGAATCAAGATCACACAAAGTATTATTACCACTTTATAAAACCCTAGTAAGACCACACCTGGAATACTGCAGCCAATTTTGGTCACCATACCACAAAAAAGATGTTGAGAGTTTGTAAAAAATTCAGAGAAGAGCAACTAAGATGATCAAAGGCCTGGAGACTAAAACTTACGAAGAATGGCTACAAGAGTTGGGTTTGGCTAGTCTAAAGAAAGGAAGGAATAGGGGAGACATGATAGCATGTTCCAGTATCTGAGGGGCTGCCACAAGGCAGAGAGGATCAGGTTGTTCACCAAAGCACCAGAGAGAAGGAGGAGAAACAATGGTTGGAAACTGATAAGAAAGAAGCAACCTAGAATTAAGGAGAAACTTCCTGAGAGTGAGTACAATTAACAAGTGAAACAGCTTATCCCCAGAAATCTTGGTGGCTCCATCACTGGAAATTTTTAAGAAGAGACTAGACATTCACCTGAGACAGTATAGGTTCTCCTGCTTAAGCGGGGGGCTGGACTAGAAGACCTCCAAAGTCCCTTCCAGCTCTATTCTATTCTACACATTTGTGTGTGACAAAAGTACATGACCCTCTAGAATTATAATTTCATTAAAGAAAAATAATCAGGTGTTCAATCAATAAGATATTATTCAGGAATGAGTGTGGGAGGTCCTATCTCATATAAAGAACATAATTCTTGGTATTTACAATCAAAGTCTGACCTTTACAACACAGATATATGGAATTATATCATGACTTGAACAAAATTGTTGATGCTCACCAGGCAGGATAAACTTATTTCCAAAGAGTTTGGACTCTACCAGTCCACTATTAGGTTGATCCAGTACCAATGGAGGCAATTCAACACCATTATTACCCTCCCTAGGAGCAACTGACCATGATGATTATACCAAAAGCAAGCCATGCTACATTCTGGGAGATCTCAGAGAATACTAGGTAATGTCTAAGGAACTAAAGACCATTTTTGCATTGGTGGATGTCAGTGTTCATGAGACCATCACCAGGAGAACACTGGACAACAATGATGTGCATAGTAGAGTTGGAAGGAGAAAGACACTACTCTCCAAAAGGGACATTGCTGCCCATCTATAGGTTGCAAAATACTGTTTAAGTCAGAAGGTTATTGGAAGAATTGATAGAACTTTTGGAGAGCCCCAGAAAATGGTGTGCTGAACAGTGGCGTATTTTTTTCTCCCTGCCAACAAACAGCTGATTTTCCTGCCAAAGCCAGCTCTCTGGCAGCATGGTCCCCAGATTTGAACAGGAGTAACTAGGAGTGACCCAGAACAATCCTCAGACAATCATGTACTTGCCTATGAAGAGAAATCCAGAGGGCTCCAATTCTCAGGAAGAGTGGCTGGATTGGTTGGGTTGCCATCTTTTCCTGCAGTTGCTTGTATTTTTAGGTGTATCTTCTCCTTTTAATTTCACTTTTGAAGTCTAGTTGTTGATAGCCTGGTTGGATGCTGATTTGCCTTATACCCTTTTGCTTGCTTACAATCATAAACTTTTATTGTTTTATTTGGAGCTTTAAAATACTTTCTCTTTTGCCACAAGGAAGTCAGCAGTGGGAGGATTTTTTTCCTTTTTCTTTGAAGTGAAAGTGACTCAGTATGATCTATGCTGGATTTTTATTCTAAGGATTTCGTACTTTACTAGTTTTCCTAAAAGAACTCCGTTGCTACATTTTATTTTTGTATATATTGTTGCTTTTCATTTTTTTTTAAAGACAGGAATTTGTCCTTTTTAAAAATCTACTCTCTGTTCTGAGAGCTATTACCTCAGGTGTTTTTTTGTTTTGGGGGCTCTTTTTTTTTGGAACATCCATTTTCTTTGTCCTTGAAAGGGAATTGTTTACACATGGATGTGAAAACTTGACTAAGAGAGCAAAGCAACAATAAATTAAGGACTTTAAATATTATATACTATATTTTCTCTATAATATCTACAAAAGAGATATAAAAAAGAGATGGGACTCAGATGATTTTAATGTTAAAGCCTTCTTGGAAACTTTTGAAAAAGAGTTTGCCAACTTACAAGTTCTAAATGAAAAATAGGATAAAAGATTTGATGAATTTGTAACAATTGTAAATCAACCTAAAGAAAACATCCAGATAAAGACAACAGTAGTTAAATCAATCATGCAACTGGTAGGACTAGAGGTTTATTTATTGCTAACAAATATGAAAGAGTTTTGTTTGTAAACTAAAGATTTGTTAGAAAAGTCTGAAGGAGGCATTAATGAACTTGACCTTCTTAGAAAAGCTGATCGAGTTTGCAGAATGGAGACATCATATGCAGCTAGAGCAGAGGTCTCCAACCTTTCCGGGCTTGAGGACCGGAGGGAAGGAGAACAGCTTCAAAATTGGTGCGTGTGTGCCCGTGTGCTCACATGGGGTAACACACACTGGCGTGGCACTAGCAGCCCCGTTCCACATGCGGCATGCACTAGTGCCATGTGCATGCAGGAACGGCCATGCACTCCCATGGTGGCTAGTGGCCTGTTTGTGCATGTGCAAACAGGCCACACAAACCACTCAGGCTAGCGGCGCATGCACAAACAGGCTACAGACACCCACCCTGGGCTAGCATTCCCATTCATGCCCATGCGCAAACAGGCTGCGGGCAGTAGCACGAGTGGGGGGAAATGCACACCCACACGTGTGCACAGCGGCCAGCTGTTTCCATGCCGTGCTGGCCAAGAACCCACAGCCCCGGCCTGGGCCCATAGGTTGGGGACCCCTGAGCTAGAGAAGAGCTGTCAAGATACATTGCGTCCCAATTTGTTGAACAACAAGTATTATGGAAATACTCTTAATGGAAACCTTTTTGGGATAGTGAGAAGCAGTTGTCTGGAAAGATTCCACTCATAGTTTTAAAGAAATGCAAAGATGATATATTGAGGGTTGTTTTTATTATTAAGAATCAATTGATGATATTTGATCCTGGAAAGATCAGAGACAATGACTGTATTGGTTTATGAGAAAATAGAAGCCACTTGTGGACTTTCTGCAAGTTAAATACAATAATAGATTATTAACAGATGGCTTTGAGGTCTAGCTTTGCTGTTGGGACTACCTGTTAACTGTTTTTAAATAGCAGATAGATGGATGGTCAAATTGGTTGATAGGTTTCTTGCATTTGTATGTTTCAATGAAAAGCAAAAGTCAAAAACTATTCCTGCCTACAAACCTTATTCCATCAGATAGTTTTGACAGATGGTTTTGACTGCTTTGCTAGAACAAGTTGCCATCATTGATAGAACTATAAATTCTACATTATACCAGCAAATTCCACTTGAAAAGTCAGGGTATCTGTCAACTGAAATTCAAGTGAAAGTAGGTCATGAAGCAATAAAATGACCCAAAACAGAATAACAGAGTTGAAAGAGACCTTGCAGGTCTTATAGTCCAATCCCCTGCTCAAGCAGGAAACCCTATAACATTTAATGCAAATGTTGTTAATCGCTTCTTAAAAACCTCCAGTGTTGGAGCACCCACAACTTCTGGAGGCAAGTTGTTCCACTGATTAATTGTTCTGTCAGGAAATTTCTCCGTAGTTGTAGGTTGGCTGTCTCCTTGATTAGTTTCCATCCATTTCTTCATAGTTTCCATCCATTGCTTCATATGACCAAAGAGAGGTTAAAGTAGAATTGTTGGCTGAGCTGGGACAAAAATAGCTAGGGAAATGGACCTCTTGTCCATCAACAGGAATGCTGAGTTACCACCAGCTTACCAGGTACTTAGGAGCAGAGGGCACAGCACACAAGGAAACAACAGCCAATGACTTAATAGCCAGCCATCAATACTCCAATTAACAACTAAAAGTCACACATAACCAGACACTACATAAATACCATGCACAGAACAGTCCAGTGCACATGTAGAGAGAGAGAAGTTCCCTGAGGATGGCTTCAGCATGAATCCAAAAGCTTGGAAAACTAACTCTCTGGTCCGGGTGACCAACTCAGATTAGATCCTGCAAACTAGAATAAAGTTAAAATTTTGGAATGACCAAGTCAGAGTCATGACCTTAACCCTATAGAAATATTGTGGATTGATATGAAACTAGCAGTTCCATATGAGGAAGCCTACCATTATGCTTGCGTTGAAGCTTTTCTGTAAGGAGATATGGGCTAAAATTTCGCCAAACCAGAACTGATCAACAGTTACCAGAAATTTTTAGTTAGTTATTGTTGTTCAAGAGCAGGCACACCAGTTAATGAAAGCAAAGGCTCATATATTTTTGACACAAATATATAGTAGGATCCATATCATTAACAATGTTATGGTTGACTTTAGAACAAAGGCATATATTAAATGGTTGCTAATATCACCTCTACAACGTACATCCTCAAAGATTCTATTTTTATTTTGGACCTAATTTTATGAAGGCCATTCATCTTGTTTTTTGATCAATGGCAAATACCCTCTCACTTGAAACTTGGCTATATCTCCCCTGTAATTTTGCTGTTAAATTCTGGCTAAAACAATTACTCTGGAGTAAGTCCTTGACCTAGCTTACTCTCTTGGATAATTCTATTTTATCCTTGAAAGTATGCTATGAATGATAATAGAAATCATGTGAAGACTTGTGCTTTTTACCATATTTAATCCTAATTATTTTGTGAAATTTGCATAAAGTAATGATTAGTTGCAATTAACTTTTGAATTTTCTTGGAACATATTTTATTTATGATACCAGTTTATTTGATGTCATAAGGCACTTTAGAAATAATTAATAGTTAAAACATTTTAAACTTTCATCATTATTTTTTAACAGTTTAACCAATTTTTTAATTAATTTAGGAATGATCTCTGCCATTATGAAACGTGGGGAAAACAAATGAGTTGTAATAACAGTAACAACAATAATAAAACTTTTGATTTGATTACTGAATATGATATAGTTAAATTTAAAACAGACATAGCCCAATCATACTATCAAAAAACATCCTACTGAAATAAATGAAGTTTACGTGTACTAAACAGTATTTTTCGTTCGTCTTTATAAGACAGCAAAAACTTTTAACTACTCCTACATTCCCTAACTATTCTCACATTATCTAAACTGCATTCTCTGCAGTTTACAACTCGGCTCACAATTTTCAAAACATTAAAAATGCCGATGCCCTTCCGTTGGCTTCATATCCTCGATTGCGTTTGCGCACTTCCTAGCAAAGCGCACATCCCGACCGGTAACCCAGAACGCTTTCTTCAAACCCTCACGCAGGACTTCCTCGTTCCTGGACCTCAACACGTGACTGGTAGAGATCCTCCCCGTACAATGTTGCTTTAGTGAGGTGCCTAGGACATCTGACTCGTTTAGCTGAAGGTCAATTTCAAGGGAGCCGGCTCTTGGCGCAGCGAGAAATCAGCGTGACTCATACGTGGGAACGAGGCTTCATTGCTGCAGATCTTCACGTTCCACATGCCAATTGCCGCATCATCCCAGCGACGTCGCAGGAGGCGGGCGATTACCCGGAATGGCCCTGCCCTGCCTTCCCTTTCTTAGCGAATGATTGAATGGAAAGCATCTGTTTACCTCCACTAGAAAAGAGGGAGGAGTGGTGCTCTACCAGCCCACTCTTTGGCTTAACCTATCTTAGTCTTGGTCCGAAGGGAAGGGGGCGCTTCCAGATGACTTGTTTTAGTCAAGTGCCACTACAGTTGCAAAGATGGCTGTGCTAAGTTCGTTTCCGACCGAACTGAAGCGACTGCTGGAGAAAGATCCCTACTTGACTCCTTTTGAGCAAGACTTCCAGCGCAGGTAACTTAATCACCTGGGTCCCTTGCTCCACTGGAGTTCTGCTCGCCATTCCCACACCCCTTTCTAACACCCACCACCACTTTCACATTGTGAAATTTTTCCGTTTTTTGCCTATTGGGAGAAGCAAAAGAGTAACAAACAGTCGATTATCATACTCTGAAAGTTACATAATTGTCACATCTCTGTTGCTCCATAGTAAATTCTAGCCCTACCTTATAAATTAGGGGACTGCTTATTTGCAGCCCTATTGTGTGCATGCTACCAGAATTGATAACTTTTTACCAATCCTTATAATAACAGGCTGTTGTTCCATCTATATAATGTATGCAAGTTATTGCAGCTAGTTAAATGTATTTCCTTAATAGAGGGTGGGCAGTTGCATATGTGCTGCCTATGACAGTAGTACTTTGCATTTTCCTCCACTGAAAATAAGCTCTGTTGGTCACTTGTGGAATAATGTGTTTGACTCATGGCTCCCTGGCAGTTTTAGAAGAAAACAGTACAAAACAAAACTAGTTGTATTGCAGCGTACACTACGAGGATCAACATGGGAATCTTTAATTTTTGGGGTGAGAAGATAAGACCAAAGTCATATTATCAAGGAGTATATTGAGGTACCCTGTGCCCTGTACATACTTGTCCATTATTTACCCTTTTAGGATAGGTAATAGTGTACAGAGACCAGAAAAGGCGTAATCAAACACAATCCAACAAAATTAAATGTGATAGAAAAAAATGCTAACCTAGCTTAAACTTACAAGTGCTATTCAATATTTCATACTTTCCCATACTTTTCTGCTTTTACAAATCATTGTTAAGATATACATTCACTGCTTCATAACCTGACTTTTCTTTAAATTTCTCGTTTCTCTTTTCAAGATTTTGCCGACATTACCCCAAATAGTTTTACTCTAAATTCAAAATTTTTTCATTAATTTATTTTTGCAATTCAGTCCTTATATGACCAAACCACTTAGTATATTTTCATATAATGAAGTTGGCCAAGCCCATCCTAATTTCCACTTCTTTCAACAAACAAACTTCCTAACAGATCACGTGGAAATTAGTCTGCGGTGAGAATAATTTTATATTTTCAAGTAACAATCTTCCAAATTCCACAGAAAGGTCATTGGATACTGATTTCTATTATCTATTATGCTTTTGGTTATTCAAAGCTTGCACATAATACTTTTCAATAAGATAAGGTATAGATTATTTTACTTAATTGTACCTGTAGCACATAGAGCACACTGTCAGTAAAGACTGGTGGGTTTTGGCTAGTATACCATAAGCACATCCACAGTACAGTGTCATCTCATGCTGACAGCCTACTCTAGAGATTACTTTTCAAACCAACAGATTGTTAGCATCCCATCAACTGTGAGGCATGTGTAGTTTCCTGGCATACTGAGAGAATTGTTTTTGTAACATTGTTTAACAAAGAGTTTTAAGAACTCAGAGCTGTATCAATTCAATTGGCCTAAGATCTAGTGCTTCTGGTTCAGAAACCCTAGATCAGGGGTGTTAAACTAACAATATAATGTGACATGTCACGACGTGTTGTGACTTTTTTGCCATTGCCAGCAATGGGGTGGGCATGGTTTTGCTTTGATGCTTCCGGCCAGGCCGGCAGTTTGACACACCTGCCCTAGATCTTACTAATTAACATGAATCAATGATCTTTGAGAGTTTGCTGGGTTACAACTTAAAATAGCCAAATACATTGTGGTCGCTTATTGGATATGTTAGCACTTATAGTTAACCTTTGCTTGGATATGGTTCCTGAATTAAACATCAGATACTTAACTAAAAATTTAAAAAGTGAAGAAAGCTGCTATTTTGATAAACATGTTAGACATATAGTGTTGAATGAATTGTGGATATTTCAAGTCAATTTTCTGCAATTAAATCATAATTATGTTGCTTAGATTGGGTTTAATTAATATAATTATGGCTAGCTAATTTGTAACATGATGTAGGAGGAGGAATGGCAGAACCTGTGGGTGGAGTTTAATGAGAGATCAACCTAGAATCCCTATATAGCCACATGCAGACTAAGTCCAACTTGCTTTGAATGTTGTAATTCCTTATCTTGCTCTAAGCAGTGCTAATTGTTATTGAGAAGATTCCTGTACATAGGCTGTTTAGCAATATATCAATTTAATTGGACTTTGTGTACCTGATCTTTTGTATTTGACACTTGATGTATTTTACCAAAATAACCATGGGGTTTTGTATCTAATTTCATCACCCAAAAGATGATCATTACAAATTTTCCCAGAAACCTGGAGCTAGTGTAAGGGATGAATCTTCTTAAAAAATCAAGAATGGAAGGCTGCTTATCAGGCAAGGGATAAGACACATGTGCTTCTTTAAAACAAATTGGACCCAAGCTTATATTTTTGGGGAAATTTCTTTAAACTAGTATTTTCTAGAAAGTGATCTCTGTTAAAGATTAAAATATGGACTTTTCCCAGACAATAAGATTATAAAAATGGATAAATATTGGTAATAATGTAATATAGATTGTAGATAATAGGGGACTTGGAAGTCTTGATACATGACACTATTCTGTCTGAAAATGTGTTGATCTTCATCTTATAACTTTTCTACAATATGATAATTTTGTGGTGGTTATTTCTTCTGAACAAATGATGGATAAATCTATATGTAAAAACCAAGCATTTTTTTTTGTTATATAGTTGGGATCAAGTAGGGGAAGTAGGGGAATGTAATTGAGGCAGCTTTCTCTAATTTGGAATTCGGATGTGTTGGAATTTTGCATCTTTTAGAACAGAGGTCCCCAACCTATGGGCTGTGGCCCACTACCGGGCTGTGGCACGATCCTGGCATAGGGTGGCAGCACGAACCTTACACGGCAGCGGTGCGATCATTGCACCAGGATGGCATTGCTGCGGGCCGCGGCTCAAGCCTCGCACTGGTGGTAGCATGGCCGCGAGCCTGTCGGCGGTGGTGCTACAAGCCTCACACAGGTGCCGCTGTCATTGAGAGCCTCGCGTGCATACTCACAGCCCCGTTTGCATGGTGTGCATGCTTGCAGCTTGTTTGTACACACATATGCACGTGTGGCCACATTCACATTTGTGCATGTGTGTGTAAGGCCCTGTCCCTCCCTCTCCCACCGGGCCACCAATCCAAAAACTTGGATACTCCTGTTTTAGAGTTTATAGCCAGTATTTAAATGGTAAATAAAATAACATTGCAAAATATTCTAATTACTGGATTATTGACAGTGACAGATGAGCAAGCAATTGGGTTGATTTTCAGATTTAAATTTGATTCCCATTGGTATCTTTAAGTAATTCCCTTTATTTTTTTTTTAAAAATAAAGTATTAGAAGGGATGTATTTTGGAGTAGTGGAGTAGTAAAAATTGTCTCTTTGAGGGAAGTACTATTGTTTGATATGGGAAATTAAGCTAAAAAAGGGCCATATACTTCAAAGAAGGACATTTTTCAAAGAAGGTACTGTGCTAATCTTTTAGCAAAAAGATAAAAATCTTGTAACTTCTCAGAAACTAGATGTGTATTTTAAACAATTGTCTTAAATGAGAATGCTTTTTCCTTCCCTAGTGTGCTCTTTTCAGGCACAGTTGTTCACAATTTCCCATAGTTAATATCAGAGATATTTTAGTAGTACATTGGGATGCTATGTTTTGCAAACGTAGATTGCAGCATGTTTAAATGCAGCATTGAAAGAACTTGTCTTAATTTCTGCTGGTGCTAAACTAAGTGAGGTTTGTTTATTTAGAAAGTATATTTGTAGCTTGATCCTTTTATAGCTTTGGGTGGCTGAAGTTATCAGAGAATTAAAATGGTATTTTCCAGTTATTTGTCTAAAGATTTCACAGAAAAAAGGAGCTGTAGTAAGAAATGCTCAAGGGAAAGATAAGATAAATTTATCTGCAACTTTATACCTGTTCCCCACTCCTCTGATACTTGGGCTGCAGCTTGTGTAGTCTTCAAGTGAACATCTCATTTTTTCAGCTCTGATTCAGCTAAAGGACATTTGTCCTTGGAGAGATTCTGTTGCTGTTCTTAGAGAGATTTTGTTGGTTCTTCTTGATCTCTCAGAACAGTGGGCAATGCTTACTTCTAAATTGGTAGAGATATTTGAGAATACAAGGCATAGCACTCATACTCTTAGATAGATTTCATATGGCAGGGGTCCCCAACCCCTAGGCTGTGGACTAGTCCCAATCTGTAGCATGCCAGAAACTGGTCCGCACAAACAAGTCAAGCTCCATCCATGGGATGCAGGCAGCATGCGAAATCATTGTCCCCCCCCCCCCCCGCAGAAGAACCTTTCTCCACAGAACTGTTCCCTGGTGCCAAAAGGTTGGGGGCCACTGTCATATGGTGTCTCTCTGGAGATAGGTGTTCCTTGAAACAGGTCATTCAGTGGTGTATGTGTATATATAAATGTGTCTGTGTGAGGGGTAGAAAGGATATTATTTCAAAGAGTGATAGTTCTGTCTATTCTGAATTGGATCATTCTATCCAAGAAGGAGCAGGTATATTGTTTTTGAGTGCTTCTGAATTAAAATCTGATTTCCCAGTATGAGGCAACAAACAGGAGTCTTTCTGTGGGTTAATATACAACTGACTTCCTGAAGATAATCTTAAAATAGTAATGCATATGCTAACCTCCAGACTCAGTTATATTAATGGGCTATGCATGGGGAAATTTCTTTGTTTCTAGTCTGGAATCTTTGGGCTGGTACAAAACTCCCCAGCCGAGATGGTAATAGAAAAACAAAAAGACCAGACATCAGTCCATTTCAGATATTTGGATGTTATTCTTAAAACTCTGCATAGCTTAGGTTCAAATTGTTTGAGATAACTCTGACCTTGGGATGAACCTTCATGCTTTTTGAGATCATTTGAGAATGTTCGCATATAGTTTCTGAGAAGTTATCTGTAGCTTCCCCTGTTATAATCTCAGTACATTTTTATTAATGTTTAAAAAGACTATTAAATA